TTTTTTTTATCCTACAAACATGTTAAACACTGAAACACTCTTGTGGAGTAAAACAGCTTGGTGTGTGTGTGTGTGTACCTCAGCGAACAGCATCCCTTGTGGCTCCAGGTAAAGACACATTCCATGGCGCTGGTTATCCAGGAAGTCCTCCAGCCGTAAGAACTTGACAGCACAGAGCGAACGCCAGTCACGCCAGTACACAGAGATCTCCAGCTCCCGGGACTACGACCAGAACAGAACCACGTCAACAACAGCAGCAAACATTATGTTGAACACACGACTGCCGAGGCAAAAACAACACTGAGTTGTTGGAACAAGTGTAGCTCAAAATCAAAAGTGTGCGTTTTACCCGGTCCAGCTCCAGTGTAAACTTCTGGTCCCAGGCTTGGTTGCTGACGGGTCTCCAGCTCGTTTGTCCAACTACTGTGTTGTCCAACTTTAGCACTGCACTGATCTCATCTGAGGACAACACAACGAGCTTTTACCCCAAATCCAGCTGGCCATAAACACAGGGATTTTTCTTCTGTAAAGTTGATTTATTTAGATGTATATTTTAACACTACTTAGATCTCATCTTCTCTTTATTAACAAAATATCATACATATCCTGATGCATGCTCAACAATCCAGGTAGAAAAATCCAAAAAACTTCAATCTGGTCCTCTGGAGATTCAAAAAAACAAAACAAAAAAATATAGAAACATTTCGTCTCTCATCCGAGAGACTTCCTCAGTCTGAGGTGCTGTATTCAGCTCAGTCTCTTAAATAGCACCTTCTCAGAGTGGATCAACCAGTTTTGCTGCTGACAACCAAAACCAGCTGCTCACATGGTCAAGAAGGACCATCCGCCTAACAATGGATCATTAGCACACTGATGGCTGTTTACTATTCACAGGGGGTTGAGTGATACTAGCAATCACAGCATTGTAAAAGGGGGACAGTTGAACCCGGAGGCCTCCACCCCTGTTTAATGATGGACGATTTCTTTTCACAAAGATGGCCTCCTTTACTCCTCTCTCAAACCATCGTTCCTCTCTATCCAGGATGTGCACATCTTCATCCCTGAAAGAGTGACCGCTGGCCTGGAGATGAGTGTAGATCGCAGAATCCTGGCCTGATGATGTTGATCTTCTGTGCTGGGCCATCCTTTTGGCCAGTGGCTGTTTTGTTTCCCCCATGTAGGACTGATCACAGCCCTCCTGACACTGAACAGCATACACAACATTACTCTGTTTGTGCCGGGGGACTGGATCTTTGGGATGAACCAGTCTTTGCCGTAATGTATTTTGGGGTTTAAAAGCCACTGGGATGTTATGTTTAGAAAATAAACGTCTCAGTTTCTCTGATACTCCCTCAACATATGGAATGACCACTGGTCTGGGTTCCTCCTTTTCACTTGATGGCTGACTAGAGTCCTGTTTGGGTTTCTTCTCTGCTTTCAGGAAGGCCCAGTTAGGATATCCACATTGCTCTAGAGCCTGTCTTGTGTGGGATTTCTCCTTCTGCCTGGCTCCTGAGCTAGTTGCGACGCTGTCTGCTCTGTGGTACAGAGTCCTGATGACTCCTAACTTGTGCTCCAAAGGGTGATGGGAGTCAAACTGCAAATACTGGTCTGTGTGGGTGGGTTTGCGGTACACCTCGGTTTGCAAATGTCCTCCATCAGAGACTGAGACCTCACAGTCCAAGAAAGCCAACCTGCCATTTTTTACATCTTCTCGTGTGAACTTGATGTATTTATCCACAGAGTTGATGTGGTCAGTAATAGTAGAGCTGTAGCTCAGTAGAGCTGAATACAGCACCTCAGACTGAGGAAGTCTCTCGGATGAGAGACGAAACGTTTCTATATGTTTTTGCTTTGTTTTGTTTTTTGTTATTTTGAATGTCCAGAGGACCAGATTGAACTTTTTTTGGAAAATATCATACAGTTTTCACATTTTTAACTCTGTCCCCCCACTTCCATGTTGAGGGGTGAGATTTACTTACTGCAGAGCTCCTCGCTCTTTGTTAGGTTCCTCGAGCTCACGCCCCTGTTTCGGTTTGTGCGGCTGATAAAGGATGAGCGACCCTCGCTGGGGCTCCAGCCAGGAAGCGGGACGGGGGTGGCTTTGGAACGACCAGGAACATTTTCCAAAAGGTCCTGACAGCCCATGAGCCTGACGTCTAACGTTCCTGAGGACAAAAGACGGGACACATTGATTTTAGACTGATCAGCATCTTTCAAATTGCTCCCAGTCCAGTCAGGCTGTTTTCCACATTTCATCAGAAAACTGCAGTTACAAATACACTGCAGGGCGCTTCAATCGACTCCAAAAACTGGTTTAATGGGTTGGGCTTGTCTAGTCTTGTGCTTTGACACGAGCCTCATTCAGGTGCAAGAAGTGTGAAATTTCATTCTAAAAATCTGACACCCTAGGAGGAGGGAAGGTGAGTGAGCCCAAATTTAGCTTAACCAAGCCTTATGTTTCCTATAGAACGTGTCATGCACAATTTGACATGTTTGTTTCAAACCCTGTTTAAAACAGCGAAAACCTGACAACACTTTAGTTCAATCCCACATTTGTTTACATCAGCATTACAGCTTAACTGAAAAAATAAATTCTTCACTGATAAAAAGCCTGGAGATAGATGAAAATGTTCCCATGTGTGCGTTAAATCTGAGCTACAGTACATTTGTTCATCTTGGTCCAACCAGTTCATGCAGATCTGTAGCAATAACTTTGCTTTTGTTGAGGATTTGAAGACAGCCCGAGGGAAAACGAGATGAGTAATTGTTTACTCATCAACTGTTTCTAGAAACATAAGAGAAAATCAAATACTCAAATAAATCGTTGGGCTATCTGTTACAGCTGAGAAGTATGAACCTGAATTATGTCCAAATTGATATTACATATATAAAACCAACAGAAATTTCAACTCATATTAAAAAGAAAATTACCCCTGATGTTTCATACATCGCATTTTAACAAGAGCACCGCATACTGCACATTATACATCTGTAGACAAACTATTATACAGCAATCTACAGCAATGGCCCGGACAAGCAAAGGCTTATTCGACCTTTATTTATGACCTTGAAGTTGGGGTGATGAAAATTACACAGCATACGTAAAAGCACACAGCATGTGTACATGACATTATTAAAAGTACACAGTTCAGTGTTCTCTAATGAAGCGTTGAAATTGTAAGAAGACTTTAACCTGCACCGTCAAGACCAGCATCATTCTGAAGGAAGAGACGGTTTAACAACTTCTCTCTAGTTTACTTTTATGTCATTTCAGGGGTTGTCAGATACATTTTTAAACAATTATAGCAAAGGAGAGCAGCACAGTGGTGCAGTTGGTAGAGCTGCTGTCTCTCAGCGAATAGTTCGCCAGATAAAATCCTAGCCAGGGGCCCTTCTAGCTGGAATGTGCACGTTTTCTCCATACATGAGTGGGTTTTCTCCAGGCACTCCGGTTTCCTCCCACAAACCAAAAACATGCATGTTAGTCTGACTGATGACTCCAAATTGTCCCTAGGTGTGATTGAGAGAGTGAATGTCTCGTTTGTCTCTATGTGTCCTTGTGATGCGACTGGAGACCTGTCCAGGGTGTCCCCCGCCTCTCGCACAGTGACAGATGGATATGGGCACCAGTGACCTCCATAGCCCAAAAAGGAAAAAGTGGCTAAAGATAAGAAATGGTGTGTGTTGTCAGCAACATTCCCTCGGTAATAAATCTTGTTTATTTAATCCTGAGACAGAGCTGTCACACACTACCGTCATCACTTCCAACACATTATTGAGCCACGGCACAGAGGCTTACCTTACATACATCAACTGTTTCAGTTCTTACTACCTCGCTCTGCAGCACAGGGGTGCACCAGAGCTGGGCTGGCTTTTAACACTCTCACCACCTAGGTCCATTCAGAAGTCATACTAAGACAACAAGGTGTCTCAGTCCTGGACTGAGGTGTCTTATGAAAGAGCCTCAAGTTATAGCCGTTTAGTGTTCGCCTATACATTATGACTAAAATTAAATAAAAATTAGTGTCAAAGGTAACACTGCTACAACCCTCTTCAGCAGGTGCAGACATTTATTATTACTGGAAGACACTAATTAGAGCTCTAACCACAAAGGCTGTGCTTCAGAAATGTATGTCATCCCTTAGAAAGATGGTCTACTCTTGCAGCTCAGCCATGTCGCAGAGTCGCTCTTAATTTAGAATTTTGCTGTGATCCGTAAGCATGTTAAAGGAATTAATTTTTCCACATGGAGGAGAAGCTGTGGGCAAGTCTGGAGCTTGTTGTGACACAGATGTTAATAGTGAAAGGGTGTGTGCACAGTGAGTGCAGTATATATCAGGTATGGCTTCACAGGATAAACATTAAACATTCCCACTGTGTTGATGTAAACAGCACTGTTTTATTTGAGTTTATTTATAGAAATATCAGTCAATGCTCAATATCTTCATTAAACAAGCTTCATTTGATTTTATGTGAACAGGAAGCACGTGGGATGTCAGATTATGTTACCTGTGAGTGCTGCAGGCTTGGTTACGGTTGTGTACTGGTTTTGCGTAGAGATGATACTGGATCTGGGGCTGAGTGCCGGCGAGGACAGCAGAGACAACTCTTCTATGATGGCGCTGCTGCGAGGATGATGTTTTGGCAACTCACTGAGACGCTGTTCCAAAGAATATCGCAGAAGGTCAAGCTTCTGACTGGACTCAGTAAAGCGAGCCTGGGCCTGAAGACAAGAGGAAGGAGGATTTAAAATAATGAACAGATAAGGTAACAACTATCTTTGGAAATCTTTATAAAAGTAATACACCATTCCCAATTTTTGATTTGATTTATACATGAATTAACTAAAATTAATAGAACAAAAAAAAAATCTTCCATTTAAAACTCAATTAAATACCAATCAGGAGATCAGCTGATTAGCTGCAGGAGGAAGCTTTTTCTGCAGCTGTGGGCTGCACTAAGGTGCAGCAGGTGATAAATAAATTAAAATAATTTATTTCAAATAGAAATTTTATGCTGATCGTGTGGCTCATCCACCAATCAGCCAATTGTGTGTTATGTCCAATCTTATTTTGAAAAACCACGATAGATCGAGTCCGCGATAAACGAATCGTGAAGTAGCAAATAAAAAATAAAACATTCATAACTTCAAATCAACTTAAATAAAGAATAAATAAAACAACAAACAAAGATGACTTAACAGAACGTTAAAGTTAAATCTTATGTTACTGGGCAGTGACTGTTGGTGACAAGTTAGACACGAAATTTTGATAAAATTTGTACATTTTCACTTAAAATTATACTGAATTAGTGTGTAGAAAGATTTAAAACAAACAAATAAATAAAAAATCAACAAGTGGTATGCTGACATCCCATTGCTAAAGGATCTGATTAGTGAATATTTGTAGTTTTTGAGATTAATTTTTTCTGGATTGGTGATATAGGAATGATTATTTTGATGCTTTTATGTCAATTAATACTTATACTCACTTTTGATGCAGCTTATCTGCTTAAAGTCAGGCCTGTGCTGCAGATGTGTTTTGGAGTAATTAAAGTTCTCTGGGGGATGCTCTAACCAGAAGATCTGGCCCAATCTTAAGGTTACAGTGACCCAGGTTTTGAAGGACATGTTTTTATGAAGCCATCGCTCTGTTGCACAGACTGCTTTGATGATGGAAAAACAGATTTTAATTAAATCTGTCCTCCTGGCAACCATCAAACTTGTTTTTCACTGCTCTCACGCGATCCGGTCAGGGAAAAGGTATAAAGGAAGTGTGACAGGCAAGGGAATTTTAGAAGTCTTGTGTGGACCAGCACGCGGTGCCATGCAGTTGATGATGTGAGCTCTGTCATTTGGATCGAAAGGCTTCCCGATCATTTGTCACGGTGAGAGATACTCATATCAATTTGTGTGTTAAGAGTGTACGAGTGTACATGACTTTGCTTGGCTGTTTTCTTGTGGCAGATTAATAAATGACAAATATTATTCTAGCAAGTTACAGTCTCTGGTGTTTTATTTTTCCTCTTGTCTGAATATCTGGTGCCGATCGTTCACGAACCCTTTTGATAAAGAATTTCATAATACAATTGGAATTAAACAGGAAACACAAGTAAACTTGTTTTTGGTGCAAGACATTTAAGTGAGTAGGAGTTGCACTGTGTGCAAGAATAGAAGTAGGTTTTTATCTTGCCCAAGGTAAAGCAGAGTGACAGATCCTGGAAAACGAAGAGCAATTTTATGCAGCACCAGGTGCAATGGCAGAGCCAGCAGGTGGCCAATGGTGGCCTTGGCTCCCACAGAATGATCTTCAGCCACCTCAATCATTTGAGGTAACAATACTTTTAACATTATTTTATTTAACAAAGTCCCACTGAGATTAAAAACATATTTTTCAAGGGAAACTTGGCAAAGATAGGTAGCCGCTAATATAAAACTATTTTCCACATCACAGTCAAGACAACAAAATTAAAACATCAAAGCAATATAAAGACTAGAAAGCCTATTGTTGAATGATGTTTGCATGATGTTTTGAACCACTTTGGCCATGGTTGACTAGACGAGTCGGCGGGGAAGAGGGCAGACTACAGAAACCATCTTAGCGCATTAAACTGGTTGACCTATGTGAAAGTGCTATTTATAAGACTGAGTTTGTTGTGGCTCCTCAGACTGATGAAGTCTTTGAAAGACGAAACGTTTCAACAAAAAGAATCCACCCAGAGGAAAGCATAGTTTCCTCAAATGACAGGGGCTACTCTTTACTTTTTTATCAAAAAAATCTAAGCAGATTTGAAGAAAATTATGTATTGGAAATAACTTCATGTCTTAAGTGTTACATTAGAGTCATGCTAGTTTTCTATTATACTCTCTTGTATAGGTATCTGTGATGTTTTAATAAATACAGAATGAGTTTGTTTCTTTGCATTCCCTTTACTCAATGACATTTACTCAACCCTTGAATGCAGAAATCTGATCCACTTCAAGTCTTCAAGACTCAGTTTGGTCTCAGTGTAGGTTGTATCAAATTAAGTTCACATGACTACAAAAAAAAAAACCTCAGGTCTACCTCTGAATGTGCTTTCTTTTCTGTGAATTTTCCAGAGCCTAGGAGTTTCATGACATTTTTTGCCCCCTCTGCCACCGCAGATTCAATCTTGGCATGATGACACAGCTCCTCCACTCGAAGGTCTAAAGGGCTGATGATGGACTTGTCTGAAAATCAAAGGAGACAGTGGTTTGTAATATTTACGCTATACATGTTGACGTGCATTATGATGATGAAAACAGGAGCTCACCCATCACGTCATTGCTCTCAAAGCTCAGCTCAGTGGCTTGACTGGCCTTGAGGATCTGCATCCTGATGAACTCAATCTTTGTCTTGCTGTCCTGCAGCATCTGCTGGGCAGCTGCAAGTAACTTACGATCCTGTGGGTGAAAAGAGAATGGAGAAATTAAATGGTCCCCGTCCATCTGCCTGAATTCAATGGTTTTAATCACATTTGGCTATCTAAATAGAATTTTTAGATCTCAGGTCTGTAATTGACTCTAAATGTACACCACACTTCATTATTTACAGAGTTTAACACAGATCAGTCTGTGTTCTTAATTGGAGGTTTGAGTGGCCACATGGAAAATCTTATCGTGTAGACTAGTCCCCAGACCAGTACACCTCAGGGCTGTGTCCTCAGTCCACTCTTGTACTCTCCATTTACACATGACTGTACCCCCAAGCACAGCTCCAACGTCATCCTCAAGTTTGCTGATGACACCACCATCTTGGGCCTCATCAACAACGAGGAGAGTGCCTACAGAGATGAGGTGAAATCACTGACGAGCTGGTGTCAGGAAAATAACCTCTCTCTAAATGTCAGCAAAACAAAGGAGATGATGGTGAACTTCAGGAAACGGTGTGGAGACCAGCACTCCATCATAAACATAAACAATACTAAACAAGTTCCTCGGCGTTCACATTACTGAGGATCTGTCCTGGACTTTATATACAGACGCTGTGGTCAAGAAAGCCCAACAAAGACTCTACTTCCTAAGAAGATTAAGGGAGTTTGGTACGAACACCAACATCCTCACAAACTTTTAAAGGTGCACCATTGAGAGCCTGCTGACAGGCTGCATCACAGGGTGGTACATGAACTGCACCAGTCAGAGTCAGAAAGAACTACAGAGGGTGGTGCAAACAGCAGAGGACATCACTGGTAGCAGTCTCCACAAAGGACAGCTACCACAGCCGATGTCTGAGTAAAGCACGCAGGATCATTAAGGACCACACTCACCCAGCATAAGGACTCTTCCATTTACGACCCTCAGGCAGACGATACAGGAGTCTGCCATCGCGCATGAAAAGACTCAAAGATGGTTACTACCCACAAGTTATCAAATTACTGAACTCTTGATAATAACATTGCACTAAGCCACATCTGTGACACCTAATATGTTTATTGTTGCTGCACCATGTGGCTGTATCATGTATAAGTCATGTACAGTGAGGAAAATAAGTATTTGAACACCCTGCGACTTTGCACGTTCTCCCACTTTGAAATCATGGAGGGGTCTGAATCTTTCATCTCGGGTGCATGTCCACTGTGAGAGAC